TTTTTTTTTTGTACGTAAGTGAGCGCAATATTAAAAGCAGCAACTCTTATCCATCTATGTATATCGCAAAGATGTTCAAAAATGGTTATTGGCTAACAAAAATCTAGAGGTGCGTAGAACCGCCCATACGAACCGAATTTTTCATACTCCATATCTCTGGAAATGTTCGTGGCAGAGTTCTGGAACTTGGTATGGAGTTATATGAAATCCATAGCAAACTCTTGGAGAAATATTGGAGCTATCGGAAAAGGGGGCGTGGCACCTTCCATACAAACCGAATATTCATACTGCATATCTATGGAAGTGTTCATGGTAGAGTACTGGAACTTGGTATTGGCGCAAATGAAATCGATCGCATACTCGTGGAGAAAAATTGGACCTATTGGAAAAGGGGGCGTGGCACCTCCCTTTCAAACCGAATTTTTCATACTGCATATCTCTGGAAGTATTTATAGTAGAGTATTGGAACTTGGTATGGAGATATATGAAATCAATCCCATACTCTTGGATAAAAATTGGAGGTATTTGAAAAGGGCGCGTGACACTGGCCATACAAACCGAATTTTTCATACTGCATATATCTGGAAATGTTCATGGTAGAGTACTGAAACTCGGTGTGGCGATACATAAAATCAATCGCATACTCTTGCAGAAAAATTGAAGTTATTGGAAAAGGGGCCTGGCAACTCCTATACAAACCTAACTTTTCATACTGCATATCTCTGGAAATGTTCATGGTGGGGTACTGGAACTTGGTGTGGAGATATACATATAAAATCGTTCGCATATTCTTTCAGAAAAATTGGAGCTATTGGAAAGGAGGGCGTTGTACCTCCCATACAACCCGAACTTGGTACGGAATTCATATATTTCACATCAATCACATACTCATGGAGAAAAATTGGAGTTGTTGGAAAAGGGCGTGGCACCTCCTAAATATACAAACCGAAATTGTCACACTGTATATCTCTGGAAATGTTTATGGTAGAGTACTGGAACTTGGTATGGAGATATATGAAATCAATCGCATACTCCCGGAGAAAAATTCGGACTATTACATACAAACCGAATTATTCATAAGTATCTCTAGAAGTGTTCATGGTAGAGTACTGGAGCTTTATAAGGGCGTGGCACCTCCCCTACAAGTCGAATTTTTCTTATTGCATATCTCTATAATTGTTCTTGGTAGAGTACTGGAACTTGGTGTGGTGATATATGAAATTAATCGCATAGTCATGTAGAAAATATGAAGCTATTGGAAAAGGGGGCGCGGCACCTACCATTCAAGCCGAAT